CTCCGCTCGACAAAGTCGACAGCGGAGCTAAAAAGTGAAACGAGTGTTTTTAAATATGTACAAGTTACTATGATTACTAGATTATAGCCGGAACTAGATTACACTATAGGTTATTGCCCTGTGTCCCGTGAGCGATTAGGAATAATAAAAAAATACATTGAAAAATAAATCTTTCTCCCCTATTACTATGATTGGTTTTGAAGAACAAATATTGCATTCGAAAGCAAATATTGCTATAATTTTGGTTTACAACTAACCCCAGTATTTTGCCACTGATTTTGTTTTTTAGTTCAACACCGTGTCAATTTCTCCTGTAACCTGCCTTCTCTTTTCAGACGAGTGTGTGACAGTCACATGTTCAATCATCGTCATTGTTTTTCCTGTCTGTCTGCAGGCGTTGTAACAACTCACCCCAGAATATTCGTCTTCGTCTTTACCAAAACAGCAACCCATCGTGACATAAATCAAAACAACAATTAGGACATCGTAGGCTTCGCGAGATGTAAATGTATTACTGATTTTGATCCTATATTTGCGCCAGACGCCTCCAACCGGAAGTTACCAAACCCAAAGTGTGTTTGTGAATTCTAAACTCGTGTGGCTCCTCCCCCAGATTGTGAATATGACGCAAATGAAACAATAAGATTAGTGCAGTGATGGAGTTTTTCGATTGAATGAAGTATAAATAAATTAATTTAGTAAGTTTTCACGCCTTTCTGTTCATTTTGAAGAAATAATTATTTTTTTCAAGACAGTAAAATTTGTAAAATGAAAATTATTGAAGAACGAGGGAGAATCTAGAGGGCGCGACGCATGCGCTCTTGCAAAACATCCATCTTGAATTTTTCAACCACGCGGTGTAGTGTGGTTGTGAAGTGGAATTTTACTGTTTTCACCAATTTCACGAAGTAATTTTGTGATTTGAATGGTTCACAATGCCGTCATCGCAACCCCTGCCTCCGAAAGAAAACACATTGTTCAAAAGAATACTGGTAAGTAACAAGTAATGTGGGCTTAACTCGGCCGATAGGGGATGACTTGGGTGTAATTTTAGTCATCATATTCGTGCACGCATTTTTAATTTTGAAGTTCAGCTCGTTTGTCTGGTTACATTTTTTTGCCGAATCTGTCCTGTCTCCAATTATAACTAATCTGTTGATATAATGTTTCAATTGTGTAGTATGAAAAGATAACCTCGTCGTATCTATTAGTAAGCGTTTGCAATGTTGCCGGTAACGTGAGGAGCCAACCTTGTTCTGACCCAGCCCAGACATCAACACATTTTGCATTTTACTCACTCACTGACAGATTGATTGTCACTTACATAATTTTAAATGTTTACGAAAAAATAGAAAAAAAATAATGATGTGATGTTGCCATGAAGATTGTGATTTAATGTTTAAAGTTCTTTGACGTGCTGGTAACTTGTTCCATCATGTTGGAACCTGAATTATTTTTAAATTTAAGTCTGAAATCGCAATTGCATTTAAACATTTAAATTTAATGCATATCGTACATTTAGGAAGTCTAGTGTTAACATCTTGCATGTACAACTCTGATTAACTCGGCTGACATTTCTACAAATAGCTAGGGAAACCTTTTAATTTAAAATAAATGTCATGAAATTAACATAATTGAAGGGATTAAATAAAACAGCTATGCATCATGCTTGTATCACATGATTTATTTACAATATGGATACCAGTAGTTTGTTTTTGATGAGTAAGGGCTGCTAATTGAATTAAAATTGTTAGTGATTTTCTATAATGGCAGGTGTAATGAAATTATAAATTTGCAAATGTTGAATTTGATTTTGGAGGGGGTTGATGTACTCTCAGCATAACAAATCTGTTCTTTTCATCATTATATAAATATTTATAAATTTTCAAATTTGGAAAAAGGTCCTTAAACCCTAACTCTCTAGTCCCTCAATATAATTATATATAGCCTCTAGACATCAGACATGTCCAGAAGAGAGGGGCATATGGAATTAAAATGGTGGAAGGAGCTAGAAGGGGGCAGGGTTACCGGTAGTATGAGTAATGGGTGAGGGGGCCCTAAATACCGGTAACTCTAATTGTGTGCTGCAGTCATTGGTTGACTGGTTAGATTCAGTTTCCATTGAAATTTACATTTACATGTACTTAATTAGTAAAACTGATACAAAAGTCAACTTCGTCAAATTTGTAACCATGGAAATGTTGTAAACAAGGGAATTCACTTTTAATTTGTGCTAATACATGTAGTTTTCAATCTCTTTTTGTTTAACCTTTGCTTTGTAGGTGTCCTAATGTGACAATATTGGTTATTATTAAGTCAGTCATTGATTGACAAAATATAATTTCTCAAATAGTACGACTATAATCTCTTTCCTCTTTTTTGACAAAAAGGGGGAATAGAAAAGCTTTGAGGATCTATGATATTTTACTATTTGGATAAGTATTTACATATGTATTTCAGTGGCAAATGTTGGTTGATTATGTTGCCAGTCTTTCACTCGGCTGCCTGTCATTTTAGACAGGTATAAAATTTCATTTTACAGGCAAAATTTTTACATAATTTTACAAATTACATAATAACCATAAATAGACAGGCACTTTCAATTTTCAGGCTATAACTGTGTGTTGCTAATCTCTAATGGTGAGTTGGTAGACCCCACCCATACAATACAATTTTATTGTTTCATGTCACAAAATAAATGTTGCATAGATTTGTGTGTATTTTCTAAAGTATGTCTAATGTAATATGATCTATGCTATACATGATCTCCATTCAGCAGCTGTCTTCCTTGTACTGTCATTTGACAGGTGTGATGTGTTTGACAAGCCTCAGTCTGACACGTGCACCAACGCATTTAATTTGGTTTTTAGCTCCGCTGAGCAGAGCTTATCATATGAGTGATTGTTCGTCGTCCGTGTCAATGTTTTACTTTTTCTACTTCTTCTTGAAAAATACAAGCCTGAATGCTTTGATATCGGTACTTGGTGTATATGTACCTTGGGTAGACATCTCTCAGATTTGTTCATTTCATGATCATATCTTCTATTCTCTAATTTTCGTGAATATTTTTGTCATTTTTGGTAAAAAGTGATATTTTCGACTTCTTGTTAAAAACCGCAAGTCCAATTGCTTTGATACTACATATATAGGTACTACATGTGGAGCTCTCTCAGATTTGTTCATTTTGTAATGATATCTTTAATTATCTACAGTAATTTTGTTGAATATTTTTGGTAAAAAGTGATATTATCTTCTTGTTAAAAACCACAATCATTTATGGTGAAAAATGATATTTTTGAATTTTTGTTGAAAACAGCAAGTCCCATTGCATTGATACTATGCATATTGTTCATTTTCTAATGATATCTTCTGTTCTATAATTGAAATGTGCATTGCAAACAGCGGAGCTATTTCAGCCGAGAGGCTGCTTGTTTTTCTTCCACTGTATGTATAATCATTAAATCTAGACCCCAAAACAAATAGCTCAACAAATTGGCTGCTTGTAAAATTTCTGAATGTACTTTTTTGTTTTAAATCAAGAACATTATGTTTAGGTCAGATGTTGGTGGTACTGTTCTGAGTTTGTTGTGTTTGATTGAAATGTGTAGACAACTTTCACTCTATGGTGTCAACAGAGTTTTTATCTTCTTGTGTTAATAATGTTGTTGTTGTTGTTGTTGTTAAAGATGATGTAAAAGAAAAAAAAAATGATTTTTGTATTTCTGGAAAAGAATAAAAAAAATAATTGACTGCCCCTTGATTTTCATTTGAAACCCCCACTGAGCAAGTTTATTTATTTGATCTGGCCAAACAGTTTGTAAACAAACCACAGATATTTTTGACAAAGAAAAAAAAAATATATTGCAGTCGGACTTATTTTTTCATCAATGTTAAGGTACCAAAACTAGTGTTTAATGATGGTCACATTATATTCTTAACAATTCGACTACAATTTGAAATAAAAAAAAATAATCAAAATCAAATAGTTGCCATAATGGCCATCATCCGTTGTTGATACCTTATGAGCTCAATTGTGTTAAAAGTTTGACTGCAAATTGATACATCTTATAGATTAGCATTAAATTAGACTGCCACACATGAATAATTGACTTCCTGTGTACGAAGCACACAGTGAGAGTTTTTGTCTATCTATTCCACTGATATCTCAAGAACCATATGTTGGTTTTTGATGACACTTAAAGGGGGAACCGATACTATAAATAGGGGCAAGATGGCCACCGCAATTAATATGCTAATCCGAACCAAGCCGCTCACATCGTGGCGGGAGCTCCGAGAAATGTGCCATTTACGATGTTTAAAGATCAAGCTGTGATTCCAAATACATTTCTACGGGGGCATGAATGTGTACGCTAAAGATTACTCATCTGGTTGGGCTTTTAATGTATAAATGTTGTTGTTTTCGGTCGAAACGTGCTGCGACAAGTAACAATCCTGAGTTTAAAATGGCGGCTAATATATGCAAAATGCCTGTCAATCACAGTTTGAGTAAGCGAGCATAATAAGCATTCATTTACTTAGTGGGCAGAGGCACGAGCACGTGGTGCAATCCATGGGATTGAGCGGTTCCCCTTTAATTTATAGATTCTTTGGGCTAATGCACAGATTTGGCCCGAGGCGTATCAAATTTCCTAATTTGCATGATAATTAGCCAAGTTTTGGCTGTTCCATTATTGTTCTACTTGTGTCTAAAGAACCACACATTGGATTTTGATGAAAATTGGTACATGGCTACTCTGGGACAATGTGTAGACATGATTAGTTTTGGGTTAATAATTATGTGCATAATAATTAGCTAATTTGCATAATTAATTTTTTTCGTCTTTTCAAGTTCTAATCATATTTCAATAAAACTTGGTACATACATTGTAGATGGTCTGTGACATTAGTTTTTTCTCTGCATATTAATTAGTCAGTTTTCAGCTTTCCCATTAGTCTCTCGTAAGTACTTATCTTATTTCAATGAATCTTAGTACATGTATACTGTAAGACAATGCAACAATTTAATTAGTTTTTGGATTTATATACATCTATAACGATTACCTAATTTGCATAATAATTTAGTTAAGGGAAGAGTAGGAAATCAAACGGGCGGTGCACCGCGATCATTACCGCGGTGTACCGCAGAACGCCGGGGAGAGCCGCGGACTGCTTATAATTAGGGGCCTCTGCCGCTGTACTGGTCACAACCGCGGTCCTCGGTAATGTGTGAAATACGTACTTAACAGTTTCTTTGTTATTCCACAGTCATTGTTTTAAAATCCGATGCTGTAAATGAATACGATATGTGCGCTTGTTTAGTATTTAGTACATGTATTTAGCGTCAATTTCCAAAGTGATGCGATACAATTTTTCATGGTACATGTAGGTATACCTTTATTACACTGGAATATAGTCTACAATTGAAAAGAGGACGATTTACAAAGTTTCAGCGTATCCAAGCCGTATTCTGGTTCTTGATTGATTTGGCAGTATCATGTTCACCATTTGTGTCACACTCCAGAAAAAATGGCCAGCAAACGAGAAACGGGCGAACTAATCAAAACGGGTCAGGCTGTCTGCATTGCACTGACAATGATATGATTATTTTCTGTTTCGTTTCATAAATCTTGCCTTGCGCATGTATTCTTGGTTGACAGAATCTTCTTTAAACAAAAGACGATATTTTTCTGTTACATGTTCGTGTTCCATGGTACTCGTGAGCGTGTGAACCGCTGAGGTCATTGCCCGTTACTGTGTCAACCGCACGTAGTTCAAAAG